GCCTCTGAGTAAAATTAGCCAGAGCCTCAGCCCAGACCTGGCTGCAGTTCTTGGCAAAGATAAATTGTGCCTGGGGCACAAAACCTGGACGGGCAGGGGATAAGGCAGGTTGCTGTTAGTGTTTGGGACACACTTTCTGGGGGCCGGGGCCTGCTCACGCCGGTGTACCTACCTGTGTACCCGGGGATCATGCTGGAACTGAGCCGTTCGTGCCCACGCCCGACGGGCAGGCTTCCTCTGGGAACCTCAGGAGATCTTGGAGGCCGAATGGGAGGCAGAAGTGTGCGATGGGCGGGGGGCCAGGCTAGGCCAGGAGAACCTCGAAGTAGCTTACCAGTCATCTGCCCATAGGTCTGGCCCATGCTGAACCGAAGAAGTGGGCAGTGTCCAGAGTACCTGCAGCACGGACTCCCCTCACCTCCATCCTCTGCCCCACCCCACCCCACCCCGAGAGAACCTTTGAAGCCCTGATCTTGACCGGACTCAGAGGGGAGAGGGCATTTCTAGCGCTCTGGGTTTTCAGCCCTTCCCCTCTGTTACCATGGAGAGGAAAACACAAAGCTTCCTGGCAGGCTCTGCGGGCCGCCCAGTCCCTGCTTTTGCGCTTTCATCCAGCACCACAGATATCCCAGCTCTGGGCCCCCACGACCTGAGTGTCTGTCTGTCCCCGAGGTCGAGGCGGTCCAGTCCTGTACCCCTGTAACCCTACTTCCAGTAGCAAGCAGGGTGTCCACCGGCAGCAGTCTTACCCCGGGATGTAGTGAGGGTCCTGAAGGCCTAGCCCTGGTGTGAAGGTGCCGGTCATAGTACTGGAAACCCTGGCAGTTGCTTTTGTTTCCTTCGGAGCAGAGGTCCTGGTGTGCACGCGTGGTGTCTAGGGCTGGGGGCTGAGCCTGACACAGGAGGCGGGGCGAAGGGAGGAGAGGAGGGAGGGGACACTGGAGTGATGGCTGCCAGGGCCAAGCCAGGGCACGAGTCGCCCTGGTCTGTCTAACCCTGGATAAGTGCAGTCCTGCTCCCTGGGGCAGAGGAGCCTGAGGACACCGCTTCTGCTCCAGGACCGAGGGAAGCCCTGAGGTGGGAGAGTAAACACTGCTGGGTCCACTGAGCTCTGCCTCAAAAGAGAACCCTTCCTGCTTGAGCACCTGAATGAGATGTGGATTCTGCCCTTTGTCTGCTTACAGTGAGGGGGGGGGGGGGGGGGGGGAATAAGTCTCAGAGGCCAGGTGATCAATGACAGGCAACAGATAGGGGACCCTTTGTTTTATTAGACATTGGGTTTATTTTCAGTAATAACCTTTTTAATTACTGATTTTCTACTATAATCCAGATCAACATCCAACCAACACACTCCGCTGGGCACCCTGTATGGTGGCAGGTTGTACCCTAGAGAGGAGCCGGAAAAACTGAGCTCCCTGTGACTTTGGGCAAGTCAGTCATCTAGTGTCTCTGAACCCCACCACCCTCATTCACAGTGCAAACACTACTGCTCCCCCTGCTACCGCTGTGAGGCTCAGGTTAAAGTGTGTGGATGCCCTGCAGCCAGGACCGTGGGGGGAGGGCAGGCTCTCATAGCTTGTCATAGCCCTGATGGCTGTGGCCATTCTCTGAGCAGGTGATTAACCTCCTCTGAACCCGAATTCCCTACACTTTACTAATGTGGCTGAAGAAAACCTACCAAGATGCTGTTAAGAATAAAGTTAGTGTGTATGAAGGGACGAACTTACTCTTAGCATCTGTCTCACAGCTACTAAATTTTCTTCCCCATTGTCTAGTATTCTCTCTAAGTTTCTAACACATGGAAGATCAATGACCGGCTTGTAAGTTCACCATGGGATTTCAAAGGAAGGAGATAGGCGGGTAATGTTGGGGTTTAAGAATACAGGGCAGGGCCCTCCCTGGTGGCACAGAGGGTTAAAGCACAACCCCGAGAAGCTAGCACAGCCACTTCAGCACGAGTTCGAACCCTGGCCAGGGAGATGACCCACATGGCGTGGCAGACTACTTACCCCTCTGCTCCCTGCTCCCCGCTCTGTCTGGTGAATCCTCTCATTGCCCCTACACCTCTGGCCTGTACCCCAGTTCTGGATGCATAAATACATAAGTCTTTAAAAAAAAAAGACTACGGGGCAAGTTAGAATTTGTTAAGAAACAATTCAAATTCTTAGAAAACAGAAATAAGAACTGAAGAAGAGCTCTCTCAGAACGGGGGAGGGGGCCTGGGGACTCCTCTCTGGGGCTGAGGCGGGGCGGACAGCCCACCTTCCAGGGGACAAAGCCTCTTCTGTTCACTCTGCCCTGAGACTGAGCCTGGGCAGACAAGCACACGTCACTGACGCCCAGGAACTGCACGAGAGTACAGGCCCCAAGGAATATATTTCATATTACTCACTGTGCTGCCGAGGAGCGTTGACACTGCAGGGGCCCTGGCTCACAGTTAATATGCTAGAGAGAGGGTGGAAGCTGAAGGGAGGGCCCAGAATAGCAGCAGCGCATCAAGGATGACAGCCTGGACTCAGGACTTCTGTAACAGACAATGCTGGTTGCACACCTAAGACTTAGTCTCAGCCCTCATCTCTGTTCTTCCACTTGTTTTTCTGAGCAACTTAAAACTTCGGGGAAGCTCGGAGCCAGCTCTCAGAATGGGTCTGGATTAGTCTAAGCCCATCATAAATGGTTCCATTCCCCCCTTGCCAGTTGGTTAGGCTTGGGCTCGGGCTTGTGGCACCGATGGTAAGGGGAAGCCCGCTGGAGGGAGTGTGAGCACTGGGGAACGTTTATTTATCCTTTTAAAGTATGCACAATAGAAGAGAGTCTTTTCCTGCCTGTAGGAGTTCTGCACATGTGAGGCTGGGACTCTGCTGGGCAATATGAAAGCTGAGGAGGCTGAGGAGCCAGGAGACAGCACGAGTACAAGGATATGTTGTAGGAAGGCCTGGGTCTTTGATGCTGATGTACAGCCACTGAATTAACCAACTGTTTATATGAAATTATGTAGATAGTGCCACTGTATGGTTTCTTTTACTAAGAACCAAAAGTACCATCACATAAAAAGTTCAAATCCTGACTTCACTAGAGAAATGGACCTTGTTGAATTCATCCCATCTGTAAAACAGGAAAATGAGTTTTACTATCTCATTGAATAGGCTAAGATAGATCAAATGATGCATAAAGAGCAATTAGCCAAATGTCCTGCTTATTCTAACTAAACAACAATTCATAGTGTGTGGTTGGGATTTGGTGGGAATGGAAGAAAGGAAAGGGTTGAGGACAGTAACAGAGATTGGGGGTACAGGGGGGAGAATCTGCGATGCTCAAACATGGAAATTTTAAATTTGAAGTTGGGGTATAATTTTGACATAAAGACTAGAGCAAATGCCACAGAAAGACCATGGCCAGGATTACAACCGAGATGAAAAAAATGCACAAAATAAAGAATAATGTAGAATAAATAAATAATTTTTTAAAAAGATTTATTTATTTGTGCATACAGAACTGGGGCACAGGCCAGAGGCTCAGGGGCGGTGAGAGGCTTCACCAGAGACAGAGTGGGGAGCAGAACAGGCAGATCAACGAAGTACACTGCTGAGGGGAGCAGCGGGTGGGTCAGAGAGGTCTGCCACACCATGTGGGTCACCTCCGGGGCAGGCGGGAATCGAACTTACTCAGAAGTGGCGTTAGCTTCTTAGTGCTGTGCTTTAAACCACTGCGCCACCTGGGAGGGCCCTAAATAAATACATTTTTAAAAGAGAAAAAGAAAAGATAATGGCGATTGAAATCAGAGAATGAGCAAAGTGCAAGTTAGGGGACAGGTTAGATTTATGATTTGTGAAGAGCCACACTCCTCTTGGGGCCACAGCTCACTCCTACAGGCGAAGTGGCCTGTTGAGTATTATTGTTTCCATCTGTGTAGAGAGTGGTCCCTGGTGGGCCCTCCCTGGTGGTGCAGTGGGTTGAAGCACAGCACTGTTGAAGCTAGCCGGAGCTTCACCACGAGCTCCGTCCCTGGCCAGGGACGCGGCAGACCCGCCCACTGCTCCCCTCAGCAGTGTATCTCAGTAGATCTGCCTGTTCTTCTCCCCACTCTGTCTCTAGTGAATCCTCTCAACCCCCACACCTCTGGCCTATACCCCTGTTCTTATATGCATAAATAAATAAATCTTTTTCAAAAGGAGTGGTCCCTGGTGGTCTCCACGCTATTACCACCACAGCCAGAGTATCTGCAGGTCAGAAGGGTATTCTAGCCTGGGAAGGGGTGAATAGGAATGCTCACTAGCTTGAGGCCTTCTTCCTGGTGGTAGTCGTAACAGTAACTCAATCACAACTTCCTCCTGACAGGAGCCCCCACACTCAATGGTCAGTGGTGGATGTGGCAGTAGAGAAAGATGTTTTCGCTGAGGTTACAACCATCTACAAGATGAAGGTCCAGCTAAGGAAAGCACGACACCCTGCCCCTTCTACTACCTTCTGGGGTCTCCACAGTGGCCGTCTGCAACTTTCTGCAGTCCTGCCTTTGATACTGACTAGGAATTGCTGTAAAATACTCTGTACTGGGCCCTCCCTAGTGGCGCAACGGGTTAGGAAGCAGCACTGCAACCTGGCGGCAGCCGCTTTGGTGCAAGTTCCAACCCCAGGGCCGGAGGTGACCACATGGCGCTGCGGACCTCTCCTGATCTGACCCGCCCGCTGCTCCCCTCAGCCTCAGCAGTGTACTTCCCTGATCTGCCTGTTCTGCTCCCCACTCTGTCTCTGGTATATCCTCCCAACGCACCTGCATCTTCGGCCTGAACCCCAGTTCTCTATGAATAAATAAATAAATCTTTAAAAAAATAATAAAATAATACTCTGTACTTAACAAATCAAATACAAAGTTATATGTCAAAATTTAAAAATCAGTCAGAATATATATCAGACAGTCAAAAAAAAATCTCACATGGATCCCAGAGAAATCATTTGATTAGAAGTCAATATTGGGTAAATGTGAGTCCCACGAGAAGGACAAATTTGGAGAAAATCATGGAAACTTTGAAAAAACTTCCTCAAATCAAGAGACCACCAAAATTGAATTGGAAATAAACTCCTAAAAATTATATACAACACAAAATCTTTTTTATGCTAAAAAAAAATGGGTGCAAAAAACCAAGAGGGAAAGCATGTTAATGATGAACATCAGTGTCAGATGTTTATCTGGCTTAGAAAAAAAAATGGTGATGGGAGTAGTTAGATGTATGTTATTATCAAGTCTCAGTTCTTGTTTCAGGTGGGGGTTTCATATATGATTATGAATTATAATGCTTACATATTATAATAATAATTCCAGCAGGAATCAGTGATGAGGGTGAGTCATAAGCCAAATCTGTGGGGTGATAGCCAAAAAGTAGAAACGATCAGAAGCAGCAGTTTGCTAGATATTTATATACTTTTCTGTTTTTAGTAGCTCAAGGAGTCAGGACCCTCCCTGGTGACCTAGGGGTTAAGTGCTATCACCACTAAGTCCTAAGTTCCATCCCTGACCAGGCAGCTGACCCACATGGTGTAGCAGATCCTCCTGTTCTGATCTCTACTCTGTCTCTGATCACCTGCACCTCTGGCCTACACCCCAGTTCTTCTAGGCAAAAATGAAAAAAGGATTTTTTAAATATTTTTTAAAGATTTATTTACTTATTCATACAAAAATGGGGTACAGCTGGAGGTGCAGGGGCGGTGAGAAGATTCACCAGAGACAGAGTGAGGAGCAGAACAGACAAACTGACGAAATACACTGCTGAGGGGAGCAGCGGGCAGGTCAGGAGAGGTCTGCTGCGCCATGTGGGTCAGCTCCCTGGCAGGGGATCGAACTAGTGCTGCAGTGGCCTCTGAGAGCTTCATAGTGAAGAGCTTTAACCAGCTGCACC